ATCATCGTGTGTAGCTGCATCTTTATTACCAGTTGGTCAAACAAGATATTCAAGATTTAAAATTTCACTTCAAATAAGTTCTGATATGTGCTAATCGGTGAATAAACAATCTGCGCTTGGTAAACTTTTAATAATCTAGGATGAAACGCTAATGGTTCATAAATATGCTTTTAAGGCTTTAGATAAAATGTTAAGAGAAATTACTGAATATCAATTACCGTTTGGTGGAAAAGTAACTGTGCGTGGAGGAGATTTCCGTCAGATTTTAGTTTTTTCGCATTTATGTCATTCTTTTATACAGCTACTATTAGTTGAAAATATGAGAGCTAAATTAGATCCTTTATTTTGTGAATATTTGCTGAACATTGTGAATGGAATTGAGAGAATACATTCATGTCAAATGATTACACTTCTTGAAAATATTACCATCAATTTTGAAAACGAATTTAAATCATTGAAGGAATTAATTGATATTGCGTTTCCCAATTTCCAGACATATGGAAACAACCTAAATATTATGATGAATAGAATTACTCTAACCCAAAAAATGAATATGTAGATTTAATAAACAATATGTTGTTTAAAGAAATTTTGGGAGAGAGAGAGTTACATATTTTAGTTTTGATGAAGTGATTGATAAAATTAAAGGATTTATTGATGAAGATTTTTTTGAACAGTCTAGCTCTAAACAGTATACCTCCACATGAACTCATATAGAAAAAAATTGTTCAGTTATATTGTTTAGAAATATTAATCTTGCAGAAGGTTTATGCAATGAGACTAGACTTATTTGTCGTGACTTTAAGCAAAATGTGGAAAGCAAGTATTTTTACCTAAAATTCCATTCATTTTACTTCAAGGCGATAAACAGTCTATACTATTTAAAAGAACTTAGTTTCCACTCTGCCCTTGTTTCGCAATGACCATTAACAAGGCTCAATGTCAAACTCTAGATTTTGTTGGCTTATATCTTCCAGAATCTGTAATTTCCTATGTTCAATTGTATGTTGCATTGTCCAGAGTTAGAATAAGAGAAAATATAAAAGTTTTCATCAAACATTTTGCGAAAAAGAAATCACATACTTGTTGTACCCAAAATATTGTCTATCATGAAATCTTGAATTTAGTTCACAGTAAATAACTGATTAAAATCTTCAGGTAGATTACATAGCTTAAATTCAATTCTAAGGTATATTCTTAATTGTTTGTTATAATTATTTATTGCTTATATTGGTTAAATAACAGACACAAAATTAATAACGAATCTTGACATATGGCTTGTGACTGTCCATGATGGAATGTAGATTTTGCACAATGGTATCTTTATATTTCTTGCAGAAGGAGTTCTAAAGTTATTCATTCCAAAAATATACTAATTAATAGTCCTGCTTTATATTTTCCTTTATTAGATTTAGTTATACATAATTTTTCTAATTCTCTTCGTTTTTTTTCTCATGTCTTCAATTACTAGTAGTCATTTGTTATTTATCTTAGGCTACAATATGTGTAGCTGTCAAATGTCACATAGTTAATGTGAATACAATTAGTAAAGCAACTACTATTTAGAAGTTTACAGGTGGAGGAAATCACTTCTATAAGAATTTCAACATGACTTAAACATTTTCTCATTCCATAAATATATTACTATGGTAAGTGAATATGATGCATGATTGACACACAGGGTTCACAAACAAATCTACACACGAACTTTGAAGTTGTCATTAAAAAATGCAGAGCAATAAAATATCACTCTACTTCAAAACATCTTCTTCAAGGTGAATCTATGGAGCATACAAGTCCTAGAGAAGATAGTCAAGCAAATGTTGATACATAGGAGGAGTTACTAAGACAAAGAAAGCTTTTTCAAGTCTTTACATCTTACTTTAAGGTGGCTTGTAATGAAGACATATGTTTAAACATATCCAGCACAAATTCATTTACACCAAAAATAAAAAAAATGGAGTGAAAGATGTTTGAGATGCTTGAAAAGGCTTTTGGCAATAACTGTTATCTTTTATTAACTATATCTAATGTTTAGAAACTTTTTAAGTAGGAATGATGCCTACATCATTCATGCTAGAAATAGGTGTTTAATTTGTTCTATACATGGCTAAGAAGATGATTTGTTGTTGCAGATGTGAAAAGTCAACTTCTATGTCTTCCATTTAGATTTGCTTTAATCCACTATTGGTAATGTATGATTTCTTATAAGTAATGCATGATTTCATATGTTTACTTTTCAGAGCTAACAGGTCAAATAATTAAACTAATATAGATCAAGTGATATAAATAAAATGTTTTCAAAATATTTTTAAAGATAAGTGTTCAAAAGGCAATCATGTATACATATATATTATATCAAATATGGTTAAAAAATCAAATAGTTTGAAGCTGAAGAAAACATAGAGAATAAAAAATAAAAAAAATGAATAAGGAAAAAAATTTCCGCAAAGCTCCGCACAGTGCGGAGTTATTGCTCCACACTTTTGTGCGGAGTTACTTCGCGCTGTTTGTGAAGCATTGCTCCACACAGTGCGGAGTTGCTCTACTTTTTTTTTTTTACATTGATGCTAATTGGTAATTGGTGTTGCTTCACACTTTTTGCGGAGCATTGCTCCGCACAGTGGGGAGTTGCTCTGCTTTTTTCTGTGTTGATACTAATTGGTAATTGTTTACTGTCATTTAAATTATTAATTAGTAAATTATAAATTATAAATTGTTTACTGTTTTAGTAAATGTATGAATGAGTTGCTTGTCATACCTCTGATTTTTGTTGCAGACTCACCATACCATACCAGTACTAATCCAATCCTATACATATATATATTTTTTCTTTTTTATTGTAGAGTTTATAGTTTAGAAATTCTTCAGTCATCAACCTACCACATTTTTCTTCATGATTGCCTACTTTTTTATATAGTTGCTTGTCATATCGATTATTGCTTGTACATTTCATCATACCAATACTAATCCATTCTCATACATGACTCTAGAATGTAGTTATATACTGAGAAATTTCAGCAATCAACTGATTTACTTGTCATACTTCACCGATTTTATCTATTTTTTTCTTTCAAACTTTGACTATTTACATCTATATATATCTATATCCATTAAATCATTTCATTTCTTGCTTTGCACACAAGAGTGATCTTTCTTTTAGCTCATAAATCTTCTACCCTACTGCACTTGACATATTATTTTAGAATGGAAGAGGAATACAAACTAATACCAGAAATTGTCTCAAACAATGAGAAGTGGAAAGCCAAGGTCCTTGTAATAGAAAAACAATCACCAAAATCTTCGAAGCAAGGCAATGAAAGGTATGAACATCTGGTGTTGATGGATACTCAGGTAACTCATCTTCTTCGTTAGCTATGTTTTCTTAGTTTAACCCTATTTTTGCACAATTTTCCTTAGGTCAAAAACAGATAGAGCAAAAGCAATATAATTTGGCTTCAAAATACAAACTCTAGAAAAATGAATAACTAGAAAAATGAGTGAAAACTTCAAAACTATTCAAAACTATTAAGACTTCTCATTGTATGTTCATATATTCTTTCCTCTTTTTATTATTTTATAATATGATAACTAATAATAATAATTAAGAACATTTATGAAATTCCTCCGCACTTTTCAGGGAAATACTATCCAAACTAGCTTATATGATTCCAATATCAGTGCTTTTGAGGATCAACTTGTTATGGGAAAAACTTATGCAATTTCAAAAGCTTATGTGAAGAACAATATGATAAACTAAAAATATTCGATATGATCTCAGCACTGGACTATGTCCGAAGAAACTAAATGAAGATAATCTGGAATTTATTTTTTAAACATATCAGCTGACACATTTTCATAAAGCGGAATAGTATATGGATACAGATGCTGAATAAGTAAGAAATGCATATTTGTTATTTCATGATTTATTATTTGGTGATATGTTATCTTGAACTATTGAATTATTTAGTAGTTATAATTGAATTACTTAGTAGTTATATTTAGAAAAGTAAGCAAAGGTCATTTTAAAATTTAAATTTTCAGATATACTTGCGGTTGCAATTGATATGACGCCTAAACGAATGATTCAATCAAAACATGACAACCAAACTGGGTATAAGATGTGCTACTTCTGGACAAAAATTTCAAAACAATGATGCTTACACTTTGGGATAATACCTGACAACATTGAGAAAAAATAAGTCATCTTTGCAACACATCTCAAAGTTACGTCTTTCTTAGGTATGTGTTTAGTTGCTGGTATGTTTTCCGTTACATCAGCATACAGCTTACAGTATATGTAATGCTTTACACATAAATACAGGTTTGAAATTGTCCACAAAAGTCCATAGCACGTTGTTCATAAATATACCTTTTTATAGAAGTAAAAGAAATGACAAAATGGTATGTCGAATAAATTAATTTTATTTTATTATTCTTTTTTATATTTCCCGCATCTCTATCGACATATTACTAATTTTATTTTAAATGTCTTTTTACTACAATATTTACTAAGGCTCAAAGAAAATTCAATCAAAATAGATGTTTTGGTATTGAAAAAATCATACATGGAAAGAAGCCCCACAAATCTTTATCCACAGGTGCGAAGTAAATTCACTCCTACTTAGAATTCCTTATTTTTCCTCTGTTTAGTTTTTGACATAGCGCAAGTTTTATTGGGTAAATGACATAGCAATTATAGACAAAATTGATAACAAGTCTTGGTACATGGCTTGTAACAACTGTTATAGACGATCAAATGCTGATTTTGGAGAAATTTATCTTTGTACTTTTTGTAAGAATCCAAACTCTAAAGCTATTTCTCGGTATATTTTACTTTATTAAATGGATATACGTACCTTCTTTAATTATCTTAATTATTTGTTTAATGTGTACCAAATACACTTTAGGAATAGAGCATATGTGCAGCTGTCAAATGTCACAGGCTCACTTAGTACAAGTGCAATTGGTGAAGCAGCTGATAAACTGTTATTTACAAGTGCACATTCTCTGATGGAGCAAACCAATTTTGTAAGAATTTTGATGTAACTTCAACATTTTGCCGCTCCATAAACATGTTGGTCAAGCAATATTTATAGAATACATCATTAACATACAAGATTCACAAACATACTTTGAAGCTGTCGTTAAAACAATAAAAAATCCTGAACGAGTGTTCTACTTGAAAGCATTCCAAACTGAGCCTAATTCATCAAGCTATAGATTTGACATTATCTCTATGATAGATTTAGACCAGACAAATCCAGGAGTAAAAAAGCCAAGAAAATGTTGATATTTCAAGGTATAGGTACAACAGGTGAAAAAAGTACCTATATACACTCTCAAGAGAATTTGTCACCTCAAGCAAAGAGAGACATTTTCAGGTCTTCAGATGAAGCTTCAAATTCAAATATTCTGTGTGATGAAAACAACAATTCAAATATGTCTGGCACAAATCTTTTGGTTCCAAAACAAAAGATGGACTGAATAATAATTGAAGTGTTTATTTTGCTTTCTTTGCTGTGAAATTGGTCCTGGCTTCATTTTATTCATTAATGTAATTATTTGAAAACTGCCAAGCACATTGTTGTTGACAATTTATGTATGTAGGCATGATACTTACATCATTTATGCTTTAGTTATTCACTTTGTTTTTTGTATGGTTGGATAGTCGGATAGCAGGATACATGTAATTTCACAATTGTCAACACTAATCAAGGCATTTCTATTTTCTGTTTTTCATTTACTTTATTTGAAACAATATTAATCCCGAATTCCAAAGACAAGAAGAAGATGGAATTTCCAGATCTTTCTAGCAACAAAAATAACGGTAAGTGAGTAAGGAGAATTAATCATCGAAAAAAGGGAAAAGTATGTGTATAGACCTACAAAATATTAATCAAAGGGCATTCTACTTTTTCTACTCTTCCTCACCATATAATTACTCTTTCTTTTTATATTATTCCAATATATGTATGAAGAGAAAAGCAAGAGGAATAAATAATTTTTCAATTGATTGAAAACTAACTTATCACATAGCAATCATTCTCAGCATTGAGCATGTGTATTTAAATTATCATTTACATCACAAGTACAATCAGGATGTATGGAGATGTAAGCATTCTATATATTTGAGGGCAAAAAGTACAGTTTGGCCTACATACAATTTTTTTTTTTTTTACTTTAGGCTAAACTATTAACGAATGTATAAATTGAAATTAAAAGGAAAATTCAATGTTGTAGTAAATAATAAACAATTTAAATGCTTTAAATACTTACCCATTATTTTGCGCAAGACAAGTAAGTTATAATCTCCACTTTAAGCCGCTTGTTTCTGTATTTTCTTAAATCAGGTATGCTAGAACAAAAATTTGAATTTGTCAATAACATTTGAAGTATTTCAAATACTGGACCTACTTGTTTCCTGATTTCTCTTTATGTGTGAATGTCATGACTACAATCATATATTTGAAATTTCAACTCACGAAAATCAACAACAAAAATATAACAATTATAATCGCTTGGATATGAACATTGAATTAATAAATAGTTGCATGCTACCCATGGATGACTAGCCTCTGGCAAATTGCCACTAATGTATTTTTGTAACACAATGAAATCCATTTGACGATCATGTACACAAGGACTTCCTTTTTTTAAATTTCTTTGCTACATCATTTGATGAATGTATTCAGTTTCAAAATTGAAGTCCAAAATTACATACTCTTTATAGAGTAGAGTATAGCTTTCTTTAATCAATCCCCTCAACAACTTTAACTCCATCTCTATAGTCTAATACAATTAATATATATAAATTAGATATGTCAAGTGTAGATTGAAATTAATTATGATTTGTAACCTTCACTAACAGCAACGTTGATATCTTTGTCTTCATCTATTATATTTTTTAGTGTGTCTCTTCCATACATATTGCCTCCAAAATTCCAATATGTACTGTATATCATAGTTTAGGTTAGTGTTAAATGAATACAATGTAACTATTTTACCTTGATTTATTCAGCATCACCCAATCTTTAACTGTTGAATACCTCTCCATAGAATAGTGCTCTAGAGGATAACCTAAAGATTTTATCTTCCTATTATACTTCTCTTTTGTGGACATATCAGGTTGAGTTTGTTCAGGTCTTCCTTTCTTGCCACTAATTTTATTGCTAGAGCCAGGAGTATCTTGCTTTAAACAACCAACAATAGCTTCCATATTTGATTCTCCAACACCCATTCTATTCAACATGTTGTTCTGTTCATCAATGTAAGGTCTCACTGATGTTAAACTGTTGTCCACATAAGATTACATTCCATAATAGTGATCTTCTTGCCATTTTTGTTGTTGCTGAAAGAATTCTTTCTTATTATTAAGAATTGTTTGATAATGAGCTTCTTGTGTTCTTAATTCTTCAACCATGTGTGTACCATAAAAATCCTGGCAAAAAGCTTAAGTATCCACATATGATGTAGATTGCATACTAGATTGGAAGGCAGAGTGCAGCTCTTGATATTGATGTTTGTGCCATTTTTACCGTTCTTCAAACATTTGCTTTTGGATTTCAAGATATTCAACTTGTTGTTTTCTTGATTCTTCAACCAAGTGTGCCTTCAAGTTATCACACAGACCAAATACATACTGCCTATGTGTACCGAACATATCTTCCATCTGTTCTTTTGTTACATAGTAACAGAAGCATAATTAGCCTCCACTCCAACTAAAGTGTATGTTCTAGAAGTACCAGTATCATCAGCATTAATTGTTTGCTGCACACGATTGCCTTGTGAAATTTGTGGTACAGTGTTGTCAAGTTCTCCAATGACATTTACGTCCAATATAATATGTTTATTGTGTAATGGTAATGACAGAGTAGTGACCACACTGTCTGCAAATCTTCTTCTGTTGGTTGTAATACTACAAGGACTCGAATATATAAATGTAATAAAATATTAGAATTCTATGCTATATCATAATAAAATATTTAAATGTATTTACCATACCTCGTGTGTCGTCAAATATTGTTTTACAATTTTGTCTATCAATATTTCCTTCAGCTTCCATTTATGCATTCTTGAAATTTGTAATGTTTTATTTCTTCGGTGTCCAAATTTCTTTCCAATATTGGGAAATATTTTGTATATCCAAAACTACAACATGAAATTGAAGCTAAATATTAGATATATATACAACGTTAAAGTATACAATACATAAAAAAATTAGTAAAAAAAGAAATACCTGAAAAGCAAGAGGATATTCATGTAGCGTATTTACACTCCATTTGCTCAGCTTGTTGCATTCTCTATATTCTTTCTAGGTGTGATTGTTGCAATGAATTCAACAAAACAAAGTATGCCTTTCGACCCCATAGATACAAAAGAAAATCATCAAGCTGCTTAACCATATCTAGCATTCTATAATCATTGTGTCTTTCAGTTGATTTGAAAACACACTCTATCAACATAACCGATCAAATTTCAATTTATCTTCTCGATCTTCACATGAATGGAAGACATCACGAAGTATTCTCATATAAATCCTTTTCACACCATTGAAATACTGGTTTCTAAGTCGAGGATTACTACCGTCAAGATTAATAGATGCTTCATGGCAAGGTAATTCAGTGATTAAGCAAAATTCTTTCATTCTGAAATGGGCAGGATGGTCATAAAATCTTACTCACACTTCATTGTTTTTACCAGATTTCACAATCCTTATTATGAATTCATGTATCAACTTGCTACTAAATTATTGCTCTTCTTCTCTGTACATGAATCCATATATAAATCCATGAAAATTACTGCACATTAGTGATGCTTGTTCACCTGCTTGCAACAATTGTATCAAATCTCTAACGTATTGATGATTTGGATATTGACTAATAGTAGCACAAAACCATAGGTATAACAAAACTTATTTACAAACGAACCGGCCGCCCCAAGAGGCACTATATCCTCTTTCACGATTCCCGACAAAGCTTTGGAGAAAATGTGGTTACAAATAAAATTTAAAACATACTTTACACAAATATTTTCCACTTTTATCCACATAACAAATTAATAAACAAAAATTTAGTGCTATAAAACAGTGTACTCAAAAGCATATCCTGATAGACGATAACAAAGTGAATACTTTGATGTATGGTTCTAGATAATCATGCCACATGGAGACATATAAATTTGTAGTGTGGAAAATTTAAAGGAATAAAAAAGCCAACAACATGTTAAGGTCTATCAATAAAGATATCAAGCAATCAAAGGCACCCAGCAGACAAGTATACTCAAAAAACACAAAACATTAATTTTTTAAAATAAAAGAAGGCACTATCACAGTATATTCTTGAACTCCAAAAATTAGCAATCAAAATTAAGCATTTCAAAAACATTCATGTAGACCTATATTCCAATTGTATGTATCCATGGAATATATCTTTACCTTCATTTTTGTTTCTGAGATCCTGTCTCTTTCTTTATATAGAGTCGAACACAACAAAAATCAATAAAAAGATAACATTTAACTTTCCAAATACATCAAAGTAGATAAAAAATAGTCCAAAAAATTTTTCACGGCAAAGAACAAAAACAAATTAAGTAGAACAAAAAGAAAATCCACAAAAAGTAAGATTGTAGATAGATCATAAACAATTACCTGGTAATTTTTTTTTTTAAATTGACTTAAGATTTTGCTAGAGATGAAAAATCCAGCTGAAAGAAAAACTCCAATTTGAAATTCAAAGAAATGGATAGTTTGCACTCATATAAAATCTTTTGACGTGAATAGTTTGTACTAACTTTTTGACATTCTCCAAAAAAATCACGTGAATTGCTACCAACTTTCTTATTTACTTGTTGAATTTTTGCCGTGTAAAATAATTTTTAATATACAAAAACTTTTGTAGTCATTTTTTGGCATTTTCAAACTCACGCGATTGGTTTGCTGAACTCATTTACTATTTTAATAATTTTTCACCAACTTGGTTGGTTAAGTATAGATTTGTTATTACCTATAGAATTTTTTAAAAATAATCATTAGTATTATTAAGCTAAGAAAAATACACTAAAAAAATATATACATATCAAATTTCTCAAAAATTAGTAACAAAAAAGTAAACAAATGCATTTACCTAGAATTAATTTCATCTTATTTACTAATTTAATAATTTAAATGAACAAAAAAATAATTACAAATGTTGTGCGAAGCAATTACTCCACGCATTGTGCCACACTCTGAAACATGAATTACCTAGAAAATGAATTTCAGGGAATTGAATTGCCTAGAATTGTAAATTATTGTGTTTGATTGGTATAATTTTTCAGGTGGAAAATGTTGAAATAAAAGTGTTTTTTAATATTCGTTTGGTTTTGTTTTACATGAAAATTGTCAATTAAAGGAAAAAACACCAAAAGTTGGAATTTTCAATTTACATCTTTTTTTTTTCCATTTCCATACTAACAAACACTCCCTAATTTCATCTTATTTACTAATTTAATAATTTAAATGAACAAAAAAATAATTACAAATGTTGTGCAGAGCAGTTACACCACACATTGTGCCACACTCCGAAATCTTTATTTTTTTTGGCTAGAAATCATGTAGCCTAATATTTGTCTATAATAATTAAAATTTGACTTCTACAATTTTTTTTTATTTTATTAGCTTAAAAATATGCATCAAAGTGAAATATTTACTATGATGATATGATAAAAAATTACAACATTGAATTTTCTTTATTTTTTATGTAGTAATTCAGAAATTCAATATAAAATAAATTTTATATTTTTATAAAAAACTGTAAGTCTAATTAAAAAATATAATTAAATGAATAAGTCTAACTTCAATATATATATATAAAAGAAACTCTCAAAAACAAAAAGGAAAGAATCATTGCAATACTAGAAGAGAAACAAAATACAAAAACAAAAGCCAAACGAATCGAAACATAATAAGAAGACAAAATAAAAAGCAAGTGAAAGAAAACCAACATGTGAAAAAAGAAAAAGAGAGAATCTTGCCAACAATCCTGCCAAAGAATCACAACAAAAGGAAATTGTCAAAAATTAACAACAATTACCTGTTCAATTTTTGTTCAAATTAGCAATATCCTGAAAGAAAAACAGTTGAAAAAGAGCTCCAATTTGAAATCAATGAATAGTGAAAATATATTATTGATTGTACAATACATACAATAACTTTACCACTGAAATGTAAAAACTTTTGCAATGATTTTTGGCTTTTTCTAAAACACTCACGTGATTGTTATAATCATTTACTATTTCATCTATTTCTTTACTAAGTTGGCAGGTTATGAGTATAGATTTATTTTTTGGTGTTGAAAATTTTGTAAATAATCATAATAAATTTTTTTGCTACACTGATAAAATTACAATAATTTTTTTTTTTTTTACAAATACCATAAAAAAGTAAAATCAATTTCATCTTCAACAAAAAAAATTTAACTAAAATTGCAGTGTTAGCAATTTCATAACCACTCTTTTTTTTTATTCCCAAAGCAAGAAATACAATTATATAAAAAGAAGACAATATTGAATTACAACATTTAGTACTTAGGAAATTCAATATTATATAAATTTTATACATTTATAACAAATTATAAATTAAATCGATATTTTCTTTTATGTTAACGAAAGAATATAATTAAAAAATATGTCTAACTTCAAGATAGTGCCAAGAGAGAGAGAGAGAGAGAGAGAGCAGACTCTCAAAAAAGAATCACTATAATACCAAAAACAAAAGCCAGATGAATGAACAAACATAATAAACATAATACAAAGAGGAAGAAAAATAAGTTGTGAAAAAGAATAGTAACCTGGGAAAAAAAGAAAGAATCCTGCCTAAGAATCCAAACAAAATACATGCCAAAATCAAAATGACAGAAATGTATCACTTTTTATTCTTTCACTATTTCATTTAATCCCTTTCATCTCTCAACTTATGGAACAAATTTCACCTCTTCCATCTTTCATCTCAAGTTAGCACAACCACAAACCAAATCTAAAAAAAGAAGGTAATTTTATTTAATTTAAGTTTTACTTAGGTTGGAAGTTTGATGCTTATCTATTAATAAAAATATCTCTATTTACCTAAATTATATTTGTTATATTTGATATCTTCATATTGAAAACTTGAATGTATTAATCATTTGATGATTTTTCGAGATTTGAAACTTCCAATTCTACATATTTAACATTTTCCAATGTATATATAATCAGTTGATATAATAATATTATGATTAATGAAAATTTTGTTTGTAATTTTCTTTTATCCAATTTCATCAACTACACGTTATTTGCTATACTATAGACATTGCCTCCTGGGAAAAATCAGTGAAGAAAGTAGGTTTATAAGAGAAAAATATACCAGAAAAAATACAGATTTCTTTGACAATGCATTTACAAAATCACAAGTTTTTTTCTCGTGCTTGTGACCTGTTCAATTTTGAAGTAATTATTTCACTCAACCTAAAATTGTGTTGTTACTGCTAAATTTATGTTTTTCCATCACTAATCATTATCATGTCAGGTATGGATGTACTACACCGTTTCTTTCGAATTGTTGACATTTCTTTAAACCATAACATTCGACTGGTAAGTCTTATGATAATGCTTATACTTTCTTAAAACTAATAAAATCATATATTAGCTAAAAATACTTTTATTTTTCATTGTATAGTTGCTTCCAAGATCTTTTGTCGAATCAGGACATGAACTTGGCAACAAAATACGTCTAATTGGATACGATGGTATAATTGCTACCATACAACTAGAAAGAGTTCATAATGACATTTGTCTAGCTAGTAGATGGGAACAATTCTTCGACCATCACAATTTACAAGATGGTTATGTTATTGTGTTCGAATATATTGGAAATGCTACCTTCAATGTTTCAATATTTGACGATTCACAGTTGGAAATAACTTATGATACATACCACTCCGACACCGAAGTTATTGAAGAAGAGACATTCCATATAGGAAATCCTGACTTTAGGCTAACATTCAACGTAGTGACAGTCGCAAAATTGTATGTTTTCTTTTACTCATGTTTCCACAATTTTTAATTCCTTTTTTTTTTCTTTTGCTCATTTTTATTTTTATTTTTAGTATTTGCCTTCAAATTCAATGGAGAACATCTTCCTAAATTTATACGAAGTGTTCGAATCCATAACTTTTCGCATCGCAACTAGACTATTTCTATGAGTTTGACAACAAATTGTGACATATGATGTTTCACCACGGTTGGTCACAATACGTCAGAGAGAAACAACTTCAAATAGGTGACACATACGTGTTTGAGTTACTATAACGAACTCCCAATGTTCATGGTACGCAAAGTATGCGATGATAGATCAATTACTTCTCTGTAAATTAATTTACTGTTATTTTGTAATAAACTTTGTGGCTGAATCTTTAAACACTGTCAAATATTGAATGTCAACAATACAAGCAAAATAGTTTGTGTAACCTTATATATTTCTTATTCAAGCATATTTTTTCTTTATGTGACAAAATACTGTTATACAATTATAAAAACTAGAAGTAATTTGCAATTATTTTCAAAATCATGGAAACATTTTAAGATATTGCTTCAAAAACATTCAAAAAACTAAAATTCATACGTTAATATAAATACAATAAATACAAAATTTATGCAACGCACATGACAGCAACTAGTAGTGTAGAATATTTTGTTTTGTTCCTTTACTAATACACCCTTATTTAATTTGCATAGTTACAATAAATTTTTCCCGCTTAATTTGTCTACTTCTTGAAATTATCTAAATATATACACATTTTCAATAATTTACCTACTTCTTCAAATCAATTTTCAAATTCTTTACTGACTTCAACAATAATTTACTACTAGTTGTTGAAAATTAAATAGGGATAAACCAGAAAATTTCTTGGCAAAAATTACTTTTTCAATAACATTAAATAATATTTTTTAATCCGTGTGAAAATAATACAAATTCATATAAATGAGACGGAATGAGTATTTAATTTAGGGTTATATTTGTAAATTAGTGACTATTTATTAAAAAAAAAAGTGTTTTAGATGGAAGTGTATTTATAATATGGTTTGAAAAATAAAGTGTGGAGATAATATAATTATTCTTTAAAGTTTTACGTATTAATATCTAAATCATACTCCTTTAATTTCATTTATATAGGCTGATTTTCTTTATTTTTTGTTTTTGTCTTAATTATATAGTTATATTCTTTTATTGAGAATATTTTATTTTGTTTATTTACTAACATATTTTTATTTAATTTGTCTAATTAGAACTAGTTTTCTCCGCTTAATTTTGAAATTGTACAAATATAAATAAAGATAAATTAGAAAATATTTTAACAAAAATTATTTTTTCAATAACATGAAATAAAATTTTTTAATTTGTGTAAAAAAACAAAATCAACTTATATAAATGGAATTGAGGGAATACCATTGTTAGCTTTTGAAGGTTGAAGTTATCCATTCAGCAGACCATAAAACAAACAGCGACACGTGCGTACCAATACCATGTCCCCAAAGATAAACATTGCAGATTTAGGGGATTAAGCTTTCAAATTAAATACGATAAATACAAACTAAAATCATATTGAAGCTACCAGAAATAATAGACAACTTTGGCTTCAACAAGCTTCCAAACGCTATCGTACAACAGCAGTTACCATACCCAGAAAAATGAGACTCAAATCTCTCACGATTCTCCTCATAATCCTCCCAATTCTGATGGATTCCATCCAACTCTCCACCGCGTTGGGTGGCAGGACGGGCGGCCTTGCTGGCGGTTGGCGTCCAATCGAGAACCTTAATGATCTGAAGGTGCAAAAAATCGCGAAATACGCGGTGCAGGAGCATAACAAGCAGGCCAAATCAAAATTGCAATTTCTACGTGTGGTCAAGGGAGAAACCCAAGTTGTTGCTGGTACCAATTACAAGCTGGTTATCTCTGCCAAGGATGGGGCGGTGCCGCACAATTATGAGGCGGTTGTTTGGGAGAAGCCATGGGAGAAATTCAGGAAACTCACTTCCTTCGAAGAATTGAAAGGTTAATTAATTAATTAATTAATTTAAAATAATGGCTATGTGTAAGGATCTTATGTAATGCTTTATGGCAGTAAGTTTCAATTATAATTTTGATCTACCGATGATTAATGTGATGTGTAATTGGATTTGTGGATCTCTTAATGCATTAAAAGGAGTTTTTAAAATCATCAATTAACAGTCATCAGTAGTATAATCATTGAAGTTCCATGGTTTTTCTTTGTTCTTGATACGAGTTCTTCTTTCGTATTTCGATATTTGTTCTTCAATTTGGTGTTCGTGGTTTCCGTATCCGATTCTGTAGAGAATACCAAACAAGTATTATTGGTCATGTGTTAATCTGGAAAAGTAGTAGAAAAAACTGCTTGCTATTCAAATAAATTTTCTTATAACCATATCTGCACTTTCCACGTTGTATTGGACAAACCTTTTGTTCTACTCAATAATAATCTCACATTTATATTTTCGGGAGTGTTTCTCCTATTGATAAATTTGAAACTTCTATTTAACAAATAATTGTGATTTTTCATTTTAAGTCAATCCAATGATTAATATAAAGTTCATGAATATCATCAGATCACTTGAGATTCATAAGATATTGAACATTGAATTGACTTAAATTAAATATGATGATTATTTGTCAAAATAAATATGTCATAATTTATGAGGAGGAACGCTTCTGTTATATATTATTTCTAAACTGTAATTCAATACAGAAAAAACTATTAAAATAAGGCATAAAAATTTTATTTTTTTCACAAAACTTGATCAAAAATCTTTATCGAATAATTATTATCATGTTATAACATAAACACAAAGTATTCCAAAGAAACTTTAATATTGAATTCTTATCCAAATAGCAAGAGCTTCAATTAGGCTCGTGAGCAGTTTGATTTGGATTAGTTTTAACTTCAATTTGAAATCAAAATTAAATTAGTCGATTTTGGTGAATTTCAATTCAAGCCAACCCACTCTAACTCTTAAACCGAATCAAATCAAGTCAAATCAATTTGGTTTCGTTTGATTTAGTTCAATTAGTCGGTTTAGACTTTTAGTTCAAATTGAATTTTAAAAAAATAAAATTGTTCGAGTTTTGTTTTCACTTAAATTATAAGAACTAAAATAATTAAATAATTTTATATTATACAAACTATTAACTAACAACTAAAATCAGGATAATAGATGTGGATGAACAAAAAATTTAAGATTTTTTTATACATTATGTAGCATGACTGTCCGATTAAAGAAAAATACTAAAAATCACGACTGAATCAATCTATCATGTTTTTGTTTAAAAGAAAATCAAACAAAACCAATTATTTGCGTCAAACCGATCCGAACCGGCCCGAGTCAGTTCAGTTTGATTGGTTTGATTGGTTTTTCGATTTTTTTGCTTAAGCCTGACTTCAATCTCGTTATGGAATATTAAATCTTTAGCCCTTGTTTGATCCTCATTATTTTCAAAATATATTTTTCACTCTTTTTTTTTTCAACCACCATTTTTAAATAAAATAATATTACCCACAAATGACAAACTCAAAATTTTTTCTTGATTTTTAAATACATATTCTACATTAATCAACTATTCAAAAATATATTTTACACAAAAAGTTGGGCTCAAATAGGCATTTAATCTTCGAACTTTCAATCGTCATATCATTTTTGATATTCTTCCAGCGTATAAACTATGGTTTGGAGCATGAGCGCCTTGAGAACTTCAAGATTATGGAAAGATCAAGTAATTGTTTGGTAGGAATTTTGATAATGATTTTTTGATGTTAGAGATAAAGTAGGTCTACCTGTGAGATAAGAATTCAAAAATGACGATGAAAATAGTGAAAGAACGGTCCAAAAATTAATTTTAATTGACATAAAATTTGTACCAAACAAGCTCTAAAAAGAGAGAACTTTTTTTCTTTTTTCTTTTTTTCTTTCTCTCTCTCTCTCTCTATGTGGGATGTTCAAAGCAGAAATTTATTTTTGGGCCCCTCTAATTACAGGATCAGGTCTGGTTCCTTGGGTCCAATCAATCTTTACTTTTATTTTGTTCTTTTTATACATGCAGTCTCTGAACTTTTATAAATAAAGCAATTAAGTCCAAAACTTTTATTTATTGCAGCTATGAAAGGGACTGATCAAACTTATATAATTCTTGCTACAATAATTATACCCACTCAAGACAATCTAAGCTTCTGTTTGGTGCCCATTATTTGAGATTATAATTTTTGGAATAGTGTTTTTTTAAGAATGTATAGTTAAAAAAGAAGACAAAGATTTGAATTTACGTGTTATGTTATTTTATTAAAAAATGTGTAATTAATAAGAAGAGAAAGAAAAATAAATTATAATTTTAATAGCGGCCAAACGGAGGCTAAAACTACCTATTATTATTAGCTTTTGCTTATTTGCTATGGTTAAGAAACTAAACTAATAATTTATATATAAAAAAAAAAAAAAAAACCTTACAAAAGCAATATAAATTAAATTTTTTGCTTATAGATCATCTTGACTTGTCAATATTCAAATTCGTGCCATTCTGCAAAAAAATTCATTACCAAGGAGCAATGATTACATTTTAACTGTCCAAAAAGTCAAATTAGCTATCAAAAGTAATCACTGTCTTTCAATTCTTGACTTCACTGCCTCTATTATTGTTGAGAATAATGCATCCGATATAGGATATGTATAAATACATATATGTGTGTGTTTTTGTGTGTGTATATATCATTTAGTCCTACTTAGTTTCGTGTTTGCCAGTCACATTTTCTTAAACAATTTCTTTGTGACATAATCACAAATTAATTATTCGAACTGCTCAAATATTAAACCTAGATTTAAACTTTTTTTTTTATTTTTTTTATTTTTTTTATTTTTTTATAGAAAACAACAAAATGGAATGGACTTGTTAAACCATCAAACAAGGTGATGGTTTTCGAAAGTAAATACATGCTCGGTACTTGGATTCTTATCAATTTCTAGCATATTGATATGATGATCACTCATTGACATAATAAAGAATCTCAATTTCATAAATAACAATCACTATCCCATAATTGATTTAAGTGATCTGTAAGACAGTCACATGTTATTACTTTATTTTGCACAATCCACTATAACTAATTAATACTTTATTTGGTTCACTCCAATACACTTCTAACTTCTAAGTGTATTACGATCGTTTCTCTCAAATGGACAATTGTCAAATGTAAAACACACCATGCCCTTCAATTGGTAGAATAACTGACTCTTCGTTTTAAATATAGTGCCAAAGCTGGTATAGGACAAAATACTTCTTGATCGAAAAATTAGTTATCTTCCGAACTTCTACATAACTTATATGATAAAAAAAGAAATTGATGGCACTTAATTACTTACATAAATATGCAACTAGTAATTAACTCTAAATTAAGTAAAGCATTTATTAATTAATAGACAAATTAAGAATGTCATAAATCACAATTATATGCTAATACTATTGGCCACCTATCACGATTCCCAACAAATACATAAGGGCCGAAGTTTGAAGAAGCGGAAATTGGAATGAATTAAGCCAAAGTGATCGAAAATGGGTGACAGAAGTCATGACAGCCTCTCACATTTGTGGGATCCTCATGAATAAAAGATACAATAGAAGTGGGCCTAGCCCTCGACTACGAGTATTCGGTCAACCTCCTTGTCGGTGTAACAAAATCCAATTAGAATTTGATGGTATCATAATGTCGATCATTTTCAAACGCCAACTCCGATTGGCAGTATGTTATTAACTTTACGCCCCAGAGGCATCATTTGCTGCTCAAACTAAATAGGGAACTAGTGAGGTGCTGATCAAATTCAATCTTTTCTTTTACCGTAGGTGAAGATCTACAAAAAGTTGTAGTTACTTTTCCCCTCAAAAGAAATTTCAAAGCATATTAGGGGAAAAAAAAAATGCACTTGCATGTTACTTTTGCCTGTCCAAAACGTGGTTCTCCACCAAAGACGCACAAAACCAACTAGAATTTGCAAGTGGTACAGGAGGATGTATCTAGAAAAGGTGTGGTCCGTGGATGTATTAATGGTTGGGCAAGACATGTGAATTTGCTCTGGCATGCACCTCCTGTTTCACTATAAAGTTTGTAATAAATTAATAATGGTGTGGTTTGCAGGCTATTACATTAATTCGAGAGTTTACTCAATGCGCACCCGAAGGATAGCGATTGTGGGTTCCCCCATCATAAAAAAAAAATGTTCGTAATAATGTAATTAAGATATCATTTTTATCCTCAAGAAGTTTGTAAGTGGTTATTCTTCTTGTCACGAAATAAGATTTTAAAGTCGGCAAGAAAATCCATATCCATTATGATATGATTGACTAAGTAATGAAAAACTGGGATATAAAAAATTGACTTCAACAATGATGCAATTGTGTAGGCATGGATAATGGTGTAATCAATTACTCGAAAAAACGAAAAATAATCAATGTTGACGTATCTTTTTCAAATAATTTATTTTTATTTGGATGATGCTATATAAAATTATACATAAGCTACTATAGTTCTAAATTTTCAAAATTTATTTGGAAATGAGATCTAGGAGTATTTACACGCATTCACTTCTTAATGAAACGATAATCAATTAAATTCAGAGTTTTCAAATAAGCAGCTTATTTATATTTTAAAAATAAAAATCCAATGCGAACTATTGGAGCACTTAACAAAGTCATGTTATTTTTGGAGTATTGATTTTTCCTTCAAACAATCTAAAAATATTTGTACTTTCCAAAACGGCATTGAACAAGTATAAAGCCGAGACAACATGATCAATATAATCAAGCCAAAACTATATGATCAACATAATCAAACGCTAAGTAATCATAAACAAAATTATAATTTAAGCCTATCGATTTCACAATTTGATTTATGATGAATTTACTCATTTCTATGATGCTTAAAAACACTAAACAATTGTCTTTCAAGATAGAATGAATTCCATTTTGATTGAAGTAGCATGACAATCAGTAAAAGTTCCAACGAACACAATATATTATTTTTTTTACAAGAAAAAACAGAAACAAAATATAGAGATGAGAGATTCACAAAAGGAATAATTGCATTTTGAAATTTTGTGTAATTCTTTTGACAGAAAAAGAAAAACGTGTGTTACACGTTTTCTACAACGTAAATATACCGCAAGTATACAATGTCAAGTTTTGTAATATAGGATAAAGTAAGGATGT